TTTTATTTTTTTTTCATTATAATTATGCGTATATAGATATTAGTGATGAAATATTTAAATGTTTTTTAGTAAAAATATAACAAAATATAGTAAAATTTCTGTAAAATTGAATTTACGCGGTTTTATAATAAACAGTTCAAATTTTCCTTTCTCTCTTGATATTTCAATTATATATAATTATTATTACTACGATTATTTATATGTTAAAGTAAAATTGCACTTACCAGCAATTTAATTCCTCCTCCTTGATGTCCAGGCGTAGAACCTCCTCCCGCTTGTACAGATTCTACCGAACCTGCAGGTAGACTCTGGTATCCCTGATGCATTTGCATTTGTACACCTCTCGTGTATTGTCTGTGATCATGTCGATCATTATTATTTTCGTATTCGAAGTACGGTAATGAATCATCATCTACTTGTCGTTTTACAGCAGACGCCGAATTAGGATCCGGATAAGACACCCAGAAGGACGTTGGTCCTTTAGATAAAGCTCTACTCATTATAGGATTTGTTTTGATATTTGGATAAGAAGCTGGATAAGAAACCGAATAGGAAGCCGGAGTTACAGTTTCAATAGCGGATATTTTTTTTAGAATGGCATTTAAAAGAGTATCATTAATTGATGATGCGCCAATTGTACTAGCAGCTAATGGAACCTTGGGCAATTCCGGATTATCCGAAGTGCTGGTTGTTGCGTTTTTTGCAATCACACTGATGTTCCTTTGCAAATCTGTCAGCATATCGAATACTTGGCTGAGTACAGCCATTCTTTGCTGAAATGGAAGAGTTGGATCTACTGTTGGTTTCGCAAAAGGGAATATACCAGCAAACGGCTTAAAAGGCTTTTTAGTCGTAGTAGTGGCGGCTGCTGCTGCAGCTTTCTCGTATGCGATTAAATCATTTAAAGTCGCCATCATATCACTTTTTAGCTCACCCAATTCTGACAATATTATGTCAACAATTGTATCCTTTGCAGCTGCGATAGACGCATCATCCAAAGATCTTGCAATTTTATCTGATGAAATATCATCGAGTTTTAAGGATCTCATAAAATCACTTTTTGCATCCGAGCCATCGCTTGCTTCTGACGCAGTTGCATTTAATTTTATACTGTCAAATAGTTTATCCAGGAAATCCGACACTTTGTCGGTATATTCGGTCGGGCCAGGAATTATGGAGGATGGTATCCAAAAACTAGGTGGTACAATAGTGCTCTTTGGCGTAGGTACTTCGGTCGTTGTTGCTGGAGTGCTAGTAGCGAGATTTTTGAAGAGTGTATCCAGGAACGCCGATTTTTTTGCGATAATCGCACTTGGATCCACTACTGGTCCGAAAGAGCTTGGCCCGGAAGAACTACTTGGTCCAAAAGATCCACCTATTTCAAAAGGTCCGCCTATTCCAAAAGGTCCACCTGGTCCGAAAGGTCCAAACATTCCTGGTAAATATTCTTTTGGCGCATCATCAGCGACTGATTTTGTTGCCGACATACTTTCTATTATTTTTGGATAAGATGATGAGCCTGGAATAGTATTAATGTCTGTGGAAGAAGGCGCTCCTATGCTTCTTCTTTTACGGGAAAACGATGTTTTATCCATAAAATCAGGCATCATTTCTGATGATGAAAACGATGAAAATCCAAATTTCGGACCCATTGGACCCATCGAACTCATCGGACCGAACTTTGAAGCGAACGGACCAAACATCCCGCGTTTATACATATCGCTGTCAATCATTTTTTCTTTACCATCTTGAACCATGTCTCGTTTATTAAATATTGAACTTGCACTATTGGCGCTATCTAAAGATGATCCATATGGCATAATTGGTTTAGTATCTGCTATGTTATATGCAACTGGTCCTAAGCCGCCGAATAAATTACTCAGCATATCCGTCTTTTTAGAAATAAACATCTTTGGGTCAACGAATTTTGGTACGAACGGAGATTTTGGCATGTAGGGTACGGATATTGTATCCATTCCTCCTGGAGGTCCAAGAGCTCGCGAATAAACTATAAATTTCAAAATAATTATCGATCGTATCTTTTGCACGTACGCAATAAGAAATTAATTAAAAAGAATTGATCACATAAGAAGAGAATTACAAGAATTTATCATAAAGTTTACTTAAATTAGATATCAAATTAATGGTAAATTTTTATTCTTTTTTATACTTATTTTTAGCCTATAATCTTGAATTTTTTAAATAGAAAATAATGAAAATATGTCTTTCTCATTCAGAATTTATTTTTTACGTTTAAGAAAATTATTGGCGAATTTGGATTCAAAAATACGTTTTGAAAATATGAATTTTGTGATATGAATATCTAGTAAAATTCTCTGTAAATAATTTATTTTTCACACAGAACATAGTACAAGAAAAAGAATATAATATTACCAGGTTTGGATACGAAGTTTGTCCATGGTGCTCCGGGTGGAAATGCCAGAATTGAACTGGCAGCGAATGCCAGCAGGCAGGTGGAAAATAAAAGTGCTTTCTGTCGGAGCATTGTACTAAGTAACGTGGTGTATGCCATGAACTTCCTTTTATAATAATTAGTGTATCAATAATCCTTGCAAAGTCTCCGGGATTATCCGCATAGAGAATGCTGTGGTCTGAGCTCCGCGGAGTCTCATTAAAATAATCCACTCGCCACATGTAGAACTTACAGTTGTGTATTTTAATTAGCCGATGCAATACTCTCTCAGAGAAATGCGATTTCCTTCTTAAATACGTAAATACGTTTATTTTAAACAGTGAAAATAATCGTGCTTTCAAAGAAAGAATATCGAATTAAAAAAAGAACTATATGTTTATGCTTAAAAAAATGCGAATATAATGTCAAAAACTAATTTCTTTCCTTTTCAATTTCTTGAGCCACTTATTTTTTATTCACTGCGTATATAAATAGTTTATAGATGTCATCAGATTTTAATCGTTTTACAAATGAGGTGTGTATATTGCGCTCGTCTGTTGTTTTCAATAATGAAAATGCTTCAATTATTTCATGAATACCTTATTTTGACTCGAATTTAGTAGGATACCTAAGGTTGTTGTAAAAAATTTGTAATTCTTTTCAATTCTAATTTTATGAGCATGGATAATTTAGAACAACGTGAGTAACATTTTTTAATTATTTAGAAATAAAAGCAAGTAATGATTGCATAGATTGTATATGGTTGTCAATTTTACTTTAATCAATCATACATGTATATATTTTATATTATTATTTATGTATATTTATGTATATTTTTATTATTATTTATCTTATGTATTATTTTTATTATTATTTATCTTGATCAAATAATATCTTTTACAGACATAAACTGAAACAATTAGATTTGAGATAAATATATAAACTATTAATAGTAATTAAACTATTATTATTATGAATTAAATTATTTTTCAAAGAAATATCTAGAAAATTTGCAATATATTAGAAAATATTAAATGTGTTAATTTAATATAACAGAAAAATTAATTTAAATATTTTTTAACTAGAGAGTACAAATGATTCTGATACTATTACATCAGCAATAGATGTTACACCATTATATACAGCCATACAACATGATTATGAAGGAGACAATATTTCGAATATAATTATACAATTATTACAAATATATCAACCAAAAGATGGTATTAATGCGTATAAGTATGCACTGAGAAAAGTCCAAGATTTATTAGAAGAATGTGGTATCCAAAAAAAGCAGCTATTGCTCTCAATGATACCTTCTCCGCATAATACATCTCATCATATGATTAAGGAAATATTTCATACAACTACAGGTTTTATTAAACTGAATCTGCAGGAAAAGTAAGTTCTTTGCGATATATTATTTCTTATTATTATTTATTTTCACACTTTATGCTACTATATTATATAACAGTAAATGTCAAAATACATTTGATACCAAAAACATGGACGGAATAATGGATAATATTGCTACATCATCGGAACAAAGTATTTTGCACAATAAAAATTATAAGTCATCGCTCTCTGAAGTTTTCTCTTTCCGAGGTTTTCCTGAGAATGAAATTTCTATGATTCCCAGCCATATGAGAAACGTAAATTATATATATGTGATTTTTCATTATAAAATATTTGTCGTCTTTGATGTCGGTTTAAATTCTACATTATTATTGATAGACGGATTCATCAAATTAGTTAAATGATAATCCGAAAAATTGGTTAAATAGAGATAATAAATGTCAAATATCTGTTTAATAAGAAATATTATATACCTATGAAAGTTAATACGTATGTCATTAGTAAATCACACCTTTGTCATTCACCTCAAATAGTATATCAGATTTATAAAAAAAATGAAGTAAAAAAGAATAAATTCTGATATATAAATTATAAGATTTTAATAAATTTTAGGATACATGCACTACGAAAATGTGTACCAACACTGAAATGGATTTGTGGCAAGACAACACACCTCGATCATTTAATGACGTTAAATACAAATATAAAAACTGCAAGGCTGCATCTGATAAAAATAAAAAAACCGACACTTTACACATGATAATCGATATTGATCAAGATGCAATAATTAAACAGAAAATTAAAGATGATATACATAAAATGGATGTGTGTGGGGATCAAGATCAAAATATTACAATAAATGTAGTAGAGATAAAATATGAAATATTTTAATTTAGAGAGATCAGTTTATTTTTTTCGAAGTAAAATGATCAAGTAAATTGAATTCATTAAATATTCTACAGGTAGATGATTTTGTACCAATAGCGCGCAGTAAACTTAAAACAAGCATAAAGAATTTTTTAAAACGAGCGCAAGAAGGAATTTTTATTGGTAATTCATTTTATTAACATTATATTTAATGTATTTTAACAATAGATAATGTATAAAATTATATATAAATATAACTTTTTTCTCGTGTATTTATATTCAGAATTACCAGCCTTTCCACACATCAGATTGCATCCACAAATAGATTCCTTGAATTTTACATCAAAAAGCCAGAAACCTAGAATACCACAAAAAGTTTTACAAAATTTTACATCCTATGTTTCCAATATTGATAGTAACAGCTGTTTATTTTTAAACCAGAATACAGATATTAATGTAGGAAAAAACCAAAGAGAATTGGATAGAGTAACAAAACAAAAAGCTTCTGTTAATATGTTACCAAAAAAATGTAGTTCTCAAGAATTTAATAGATTAACTGAACTGCAATTACAGCAAAACAATTTAAATTATAATACGGAAAAAAAACGAGTACATCCGAATACAAAGAAAATAATATGGAAGAATCGAGACAAGGGTAAATGTGTATTCATTCTATTAAACATTTCAATGCATATACATGCAACAATGCCAATATAATAACAAAAATGATTTCTGATTTAGATACAAAATAGTAAAATTAAAATCAGACGATATAAATTCTGAGAACAATTTTCAAGCTCGCTCCATGTTCCAATTAGCTGCATATAAAAAACGATATTATGATACATTATTGAGTGTTCAAAGAGCAAAAGGTTAATTAAGAAATCCTATGCTATATCATATATATAAAATAATTGGTTAAGCAATCCCGATAGATATGTTTCAATATAGTTTGGAATTAAAGGAACGCAATTAATTATGAAACATAAAAATGTTAAATATTTCTAATTACTTCCATTTTATTACAGTTGCCCTATCAAATTCTCTAGCAGCTCCCTCGAATCATTTAACGGCCTATGATGATCCGTATTACTCAAATTACATATGCCAACAGCAACACCTGCTTCATCAGCAGCGTCATTTCACAGCGAGGCCGCAATTTTCAACGTATCCGACGGATTTAGCTGGATTATCGAATGTACACGGTGATCAGCACAGTTGTGCGAAATCCATCTGTAAATATCTGTTACTGAAACAATTAAGACTTCAGCAGCAGGTAAAAGAATATAAAAATATAAGTAAGATTGTTTCAAATATGTTGCTCACCATATATTATTACAGACTTCGCCTCTATATGCTCGAAATCAAAGGTAAGCCATTTATATGTTCAATAACTGAAATGTGATTTTTATGCTTAATATGGAGTTATTAATGGAGTTCTATTTATGTGATATTTTTTTCTTTGGTTTCATTCTTCAAGTGGATGGATTCATCGCTACATCGGACATGTTTACCCTTATTCTTCTATTCCAAATGGAAATGATCAAACTAAATATTGTGTACGTCGTAAAAACTTGGAAGACATAGTTGGGAAATTGAAGGAAACTGAACACAGTAATCTGAACAATTGAGCGATTCTCTTGCATTGATTCGATAAAAAATTTCATTGAAATTGCACATCTAAATAATATTTTTCTTAATTTCTGAGTAGTATTTTCACATATCTAGGTAAACTAATTGATATAATAATAATGATAAAAATGTTGGAGTCATATAATTAGACTGATATTACGTATATAAGCTCGATATGGATCTAAATTCAATCTTATTTTAAATATCCATCCATATCTTTTGCATCAGCTTTACCTTTATGTTAAAAGTAATTATATATTGATTATGGAAAGATTATCATATATAACGATTTATATACATTTTTTGTTACACTCTCTGATTTTTCATAAGGCGTGAAAGGCTTCTTGCGAAGTTTAATAGATCGCGCAACGATTTTAATAATCCCGTTTATATTTCGGACGATTGCGTGACAATGGTTTTTCAATGGTATACGCAGGATATAATATTATACTTAGCTGTCAATTGAAACGTATTTAACGCATGTACTAACAAACGTACATTGTTCTGTTTAAGTAACATTACACAAAGTTCATTTTAATCACTAGATTTGTGATATATTGTTAAGTAACATACACAATCACATTCACAACTCCGCATAGTCATTAGTATACAATACTCGCTGTTCCTTCCATTTATTCCTAGATGTACAAAATGACATTTAAAAGAATACGTGATAATGTTATAACTTAGGTGTTACGTGACTCATGAATCATTTATTGTCCAGATCATTCGCTATCAGCTCGACAAATCGCCAAGATATTTTATCGCATGATATTTGCGTCATACTTGGTAATCTATCCAATATTTATTCATCTTTTTTTCGAACTTCTGCAAAGACATTCGACTCACGATTCGCCTAACAATCCTACGATTAACATGTCGCTAGTTTGATGTTCACTATAATTATTGGCAGCATCACATTATTCACTCACATGTAACTAAATATAGAAATACAATGACATTATACATATATCAATACCGGAATATATCCACATAAATATTAAAACATATTAGAAATACTCAAACGAGACGAACACTTTATATTTGGAATATGTAACGCATTACATGTATGTCTATCATTTAATGAATGGGATTAGGCCAGTTAAATTATTCTGCTGGGAGCATTAAAACGAATCGATAGGAATTTATTTCGTGAAATTAATTTTTCGATATCATAAAGAATACATTTCTCGATTAATATGTTCATTAAAATGCCCATTAATCGTAATGATTTTTCCTACCGATTCCTTTTAGTTCACCTGATTTTTGAAGGATGTCAGGTCATACAGATTTGGATTGTCATGCTATCACTACAGGTCATCGTCGATCGAACTTAGTATATAAAGAAATTTGCGTCTATTAATCGTATAATTGAAATTTATTGCCTGAATGATAATTTATTCATACAAACTCTATAAGGAAACAGTGCTTTTCATGTATCACAAACATACCTCTATTTATTATATTAACTTCGTTGAAGCAAATAATTATTGCAAATATCAAAGTTAAATAATAGTTTAATTTTTATTATAGTAATAATGACTTTAATCCATTTTAGCTTATTCCATATTAGATAGTACTATTTCATAACGAAAGTCACATTTTTTTATTACTAAACTTTGGAGATTAATATGTAAGAATTTGTGTTATTATTATAAATATTAAATGTAAAATAAAATAAAATAAAGCTATATATGCAAATTTGAATTATGTATTGTAATAGAATAAAATTACTTTGATATAAAGTCATTAAAAAATTAGATCGATATACGTAATGTTCTAAGAGCATCATATTTCTTCTGGCAGTGTTTGTACACTTTGATTTAGCTCAAGGCTAAATTAAATTACCTTTCACGCCAAGTGACTTTCTATTCAAGTCATTACTTCTAAAGTGACATTTATTTTAAATTAATCACACTTTCAATATTCAGCATACTAATAATGAATCATATACAGAAAAGTTACATATTATTACTCATTGTTCAACAAAATGAGTTATATCGATATTTGCTACAACGAAGCTGCTGTATTACATGCTATATTTTTCTTTATGAATCTATATGAACACGCATTTCCCTTATACTATTAATTGATTTAAGGTCGACGCATCAAAGTTCGATAAATGTGTAATTTATTTGTGTTTACACTCGCGGTATCGTATCAAAAGACAAAATAGCTGTTGTCAGACAAAATAGTTGTCTTAATCAAGATTAGCTAACATGTTTGTATTTATTCGATCGTATAATGGTGATACATTGAACAAAGGAGAAACGAGATATCGGAGAAAATCTGAAGACTATGTAATGTTATTATATATTAAAAGAGAGACTTAATGCAATTATCAATCAGGAAACAAGCGCTCAACAGTTTTCTTCTAAGATGAATTGTACTTCTAACACGATATGTATGTACTAATAAAAAATACTTTGCTCTTTAATTTGATGGATTATTAAGAAGATATAGTTGTACAAAAAAGTGCTTGACTAGAGTTGACTAGACTCTTTTTTTAAAGTAAAATATTGATACAATTAACACAATAAATAATACTGTTCGTCTAACTTTAAAGCTAAAATACTTATAAATGATGGTTACAAGAACAGGGACGGATATTACTTTTCTTTTAATACTCAAACAAATTAATAAATTTTATTAGTATGTATATCGTGTATATGAAAATACTCAATTATCTAAAACTTTACAAAATTTAATGTATATAAATAAATAAATAAATATATATGTGTCAATATTATTTCTTATAAAATTAGTATTATTTAAAATTTGTGCATGTTTCAATTTATTTAATTCAATAAAACTTGCATAATTTAAGTGATTTATAAATCCGTCCTTGTGCAAGAATGATACTGTTAATATAATGAGCATATTTCAGAGTGTGAGCTAATTGGAATAAATACAATGAATAATCGTTCCACGCATACTATTCCGTTCATACGGGAATTAATGCCAAACCGATCTTCCAATATAAACAATATCATTCAAGTATTATAATTTTATGAGTTAAAAAATTCCCTATATGAAATTATTTTTAGTGTTTTTTTCAAGACATTCAATAAAAATTTAAAATTCTATAAGGCCATTGTGTGAAATATATATATATATATATATAAAGGTATTGTCATTGCAAAACAAAACATTATTATAATTTTAATATTAAGTCACTTGTTATTAATAAGCTGATCAGAGCTTAAAAAATAAAATTTTAAATAAAATCAAAAATAATTCAAATCTGTAATGCAAAAAGTTATTTTAATTTCATATATAATTTTTCTTCTCATTAAAAATCATTTTTAAGAGTATCATAACTTCTGTCTGATTAACTTTAATTTTCTCATATTTTGTTTAGAATCATATAGTTATTTAAGCATTTTTAAATAAATAAAGATATTTAATTATAAGCATATTGACTTTCTTATAACTAATTTAATAAAAAAAGAAGTCTTATGCTTATATTTTAAGTTTCCAATTACATTCATAATTTGCAAATTTAAGAAAGAATAAACAGATAAATTGCAGTTACAACTGCCGTTCTTTATATGTAGGATTGATAGAAAGATCGGTCTAGCTGCACTTTACTATGTATGTATATAATTCTTTCAAGATTTAATATATACATTTTCATCTTAAACAATAGGCGGTTTCTCCTTGCATGTACTAAATGCTTTTTTTAAGTATGCATGGAGCTCAAAATATGTTGGCATCAAAATATGATAGAAATTAATCAAATATATATTAGTGTTACGTGCTATATAGTGGTCTTATACTTACAAAATCCCATTAAAATTTACTTAGATTTATCATTTGGTACATGATTGGAATGAAGTGGCATTATTTGCTTATCAAAGTTGGGCAGTCTGGTTTTGTGTGATGCAAAACGTCAGGACCCGAACAACTAAAAAGAACCTATTTTCTTGGCAGCAAAATGTACAAGGCAGCAATAATTTTTATACAAGATCTTAAAACTTTGGACACAATCACGTCCTGCAAAATTCGATAATGGCAAACTTGATAAGCCCTATAAATCTGAGCTATATTCTTTCTCATTTGTTGCATGTATGAAATGTAATCTATATATTTTACGTTAACATTCTAAATCACATCCGATTTCATGCACAGTTGAAAACAGATGCAACATATAAACTCAAAATACAATTCTCTATTTCAGTCACTGTGCATTATTATTTTATACAGAACACAAAATATGTATTAAAATAAGACGAGTTTATAAACAAGAGAAAAATATGAAATTATTTATATATTATCTCTATTGTGGTTTAATAAAAGAAAATGTTTAACGTAAAATATATAGATGTACTTCATTTGTAAAAAATGTCATTTTTTTATGTCACAAATTCACAGAAACTACTCGATTGAACAAGTTCATTTTTTACCTAAAGTGTGTGCTTCGTATTTCACAAGACGATCAGGCAAAGCTGTAAGGATCGATAGTTTTGCTAGAGCAAGGTTGAACATCATCTGGTGGTGGGCGCCATTGTTCGGACCACATGGCGTTACGAACAACCATATTTGTATCGGTAGCTTCTTCTATACCGTTACTAGATGCACACTCTGCCTCCCAATTTCGGAGACCATTTCGAGTCACTTGATTGATCGATCTAGCTTCATTCATTTCACAACAATTCTGTGCGTCATTACTCACTGGCATTCGCCTAGTTTTACTTTTAATTTGCGTAGTGCCACTATTCCTACGTTCGGCGTCGGACCACGAACGAGATTGCTCCACTGTTGACTGTAGAGGCAACTTTCGCGGTACTTTCCTAGTCTTCGCTTCTTCCGCGATAACACGACTAGTATCAACTTTACTACTACTTGGCGCAGTTCCATCACCAGTCGAACTGCTGTCACCTTCTTTCCTTCGTCTTCTTCGTCTCCTCTCGATCTCGGCATCCTCCCGCTGAGCATCCTCATTATTCGTATTTTCTAAAATATGTTGCTTGGCCGAAGCCCAGTGGTCCTTTCTGTTGGCGCCTTGCTTGAATTTCTCGCTACCGCGATGGCCACCGTTACTAGTGTTCGTGTCACTGTCTGCATTGCGTTTCTTCGATTGCTGATTTTTCACGGCCCACGATGCAGGTCTCTTAGGACTACGTTCCTTCAAAGTGACCTGCATTTTAGATTATGTTTACACTGTGATTGGTAATCAATAAATGCACCTTAAAACGAGTAGATTATTTACCCCAGAGGAAGAAGAATTATCAACAGGTTTATAAAGTTGCGTTGGAGTATGACTACGAGAATCTTGACCTTTACAACTTGATCCACTACGACAATGTATCCAAGATAGTAAAAATGCTAAGAAAGCACAGAAAAGTCCCACTACTGCCGCAGCAGTCAGTTGGGAACGTGTGCGTCTTGCTACCCAGCCACCACTGTGGTATTCCCATACTGTACATGCTAATAATGCACTACTTGCGGCATATGACAAGCCTATGCCAGTGAATACTATAGCATTCTAGAAAGAAAAATAACAAATTCTATTACATATATTAACATCAACTTGATATATTTAAATAATTATACAAATAGTTTATTATATCTCCGTATCATACATTTGTTATATGCTAAGCAAAATATTACTTACCACTTTAGTCCAATTTAAAGGAAGGATGTAAATGACATGCGAAATATCAAGGAAGAGAAGGGCTGCAGTGACCAAGAAACAGAAAACAGCTACAAAGATCATGAATCGTAAACGATCTGCTAAAGGCAGCATAAAAATGCTGACCTTGGCAGTGCCAGAACTGCATAAAGTTGCCAAACAAGCTGCAGAAGATATCTACGAAATGCGCTTATTATTGTATCTATATATAAAACAATTTTAGTAGCTTAAATCTTGAATTTAAATTTATATATTTGCTACATAAAAGTTACATCACACACTCACAAGTAATAAAAGTCTAACAACACCCGTAGGTGTTTTAAGATGTCCCTGTATATCGCAATAAATAACCACATGACTTGCACGTGACCAAGGCATGGCATTCGATGAAGAGCCAGGTCTATGATCACTATTACCATAGTGACCGTGATAGTTAGCATGCGAATCCCAAGAATGGACTGTTGAATGTACCCCTGGCGAATCCAGCTCTGATGATTGGGAGCTGATTCGCCCCCCTGTCCTACTGCCTGCTATTGAATATCGAAAACATGTATACATTCGTTTATGCAATTACATAGCTATAAAGTAATAATAATTTATATAAAATGATCAGATGAGGCAATTAAAATTTTAACAATTATGTTGTCACTTTGATATTTATAAAGAGCAACTATGAAGCAATTATTAACATAACATGGATCTTAGGACTTTCAATTTTATAAACAAAATTCCATACATAACTAACAAATAGCAATTACAAATGCTGATTAAAATGTCATACATACCAATTTCGAAGTCTTGAATGTCTTCGGGTTTAGAATATACAGCAGGTGGTGGTTCCAGATCGCGTATCTCTTCTAGGAGAAGCACTTCTATTTCCTCGGCTGCGTATAAGTCCGAGACCGAGCGAATAGGATAATGCCGAGTTTCGCTCATTACTTAGGTGCGCTCGCTCATTTACTCCTTCCTGCCTGTCGTATCTTTCCGATTGACTTGCCAGTGGCCAACATTCGTTGTCTAATAGATTCGATGACAAGTCCACCTGTCTACCATCCATCCTCTGCACATACTGTGTGCCATTTCTATCTCTAGATAATAGTACTCCCTTGCCTTCAGGCCACACACCTATCCAAAAAGAGAAAAGAAGTTGTATATAGTAATTTCAAGTTTATAAAATTAATATAAGAAAAAAACATTACAGTTGCAGTCTTAAATATTTAAAATCGTTTCCATTAATTGAATTTGCATCGGAACGTAATTTTATACAAATCAACACGCGCCGATAGTAACGAGTTACTGAGAGAATGCGAGCAAAAATTTTAATAATTTATATATCTTATGCAATATTATACGTTTCATCATTGGAAATCGGTGTGAACGCGTGTATCAAATTTCGTAAACAAGCACGTTACTGACAGACACATGACATTTGTTAACACAAACAAGGTTGTCTTGTGCCGTGTCGGTAAGGCTAATATACGAGAAATCGAGGCGCGAACGAGGTTTGATCGAACGAAGATTCAATTTTGTAGAATACGCGACTCGTGCGACAAAATTATGTTAAGCTCTTTACGATCAGTGTTTTCTCGACCGAATCGCTCGAGATCCACATGTTGCCTGAATCCGGTCTCGCGTTAATCCAGACGCGTTGCCATCTCGGGAAAATCATCAACCGAAAAAAGAATCGCGAAACACGTACCTCGAATTTACGCTCGTCGATCGCGACACGTAGATCACATCTTTTCAAGATTTTTCGTGGAGCCGAGCTCGCTGACTATCCAACGGGTGGCCGCCATTGCCTTTTTTGCTTGGTTTTTGTCCATGGTCTACGTCTGTCACGACGACCTAGAAACAACAGATGGGGCAACCTGTCTCTTTCTCTTACTTTCTTTATTCATTGGTCAAACGGCAAAAAATGGCGAGTTTGAATCATTTGCAAGAGAGAAACTTGAAAGCGGTCGTGCCCGCGTTTTAGCTAGAGAGAATCAAGAGTAGAGTAGAATGAATTCGCCGGAAGTTTGCCATTATTCAAGTAATTTTTTTATAACAAGTGGAATATTTTATTTCTTTGAACTACTGAGCTATGTTCTAAAATTTTATTCGACGGATAGAGCATTTAATTCACTAATTAGAACCAAAAATCTTTTTGTTTTTTGTTCTGATTAGTCATTTAAATGCTATTCTATCCATCGAATAGAAATTTGGACGTAAGTCCAGTAGGTCTATTTTGTAACTCTACGACAGTGTCATTATGCCACATTCAGGAATTTATTTCATTGAGAAAACTACTGAATCACGGATAATTTAAAGTCCTAGTTTTGGCGGGTTGGCCAAAACTGAGGAATACGGGGAGAACCATTCTTCGCCATATTCGTTTCGATTATTTTACATGTAATATGTATATATACATAATAAATATGCTGCGATATGCTTGCACTGGTACACAAAGAGATCCACGTATATGACCATATATATATGGTCATATATATACATATACATATAGAGTGTATATATATATATTATATATATAGAGTGTGTGTGGCGTGTGTGGTGTGTGCACACACATACACACACACACACACACACACACACAGTACACATACACACACCATTTATACGTACGTATATATACATACATGTCTCATATGATTTCATGGTACAACTTGCGGGACAAATATGGTGGACTTTCTCTGGTGTGAATGTGCTCCGTTTTTTAACTCGTGTTTCATCTTTTTATTAAACCTTATGTCCACGAAATTGGCCCGAAATCTTGGATGAAAAAGAAATTAACCAATCGCCGAATTATTCAAATGCAATTGATTAATTCTCTCTTCATTTAAAATCTTGGACTGATTTCTTGACTACATTCCAAAACATCCTTTCCGAGGAAAATTTCACTCGAAATATATAGTATATGTAACGTATACTATATTATGTCGAGTAAAATTTTCTTCGGAGGTTTTAGAATCTAACGCTAGCATGATGAACATAAGGCTTAATGCATAATGCATAAGATTTAAAAGAATCAATCAAAGTCCTTCATTTTCATATTTCATTTTTTTCATCAACCTTTTCTAGAAATGAAGAGTTCTAATTAGTCGATTCTTTTTTATAAGCCACTTTTAGAAGCACTTTTATTAATAAAAAAAATTTTAAATATAGACCTATGTGTTATGTAGTATGTAAAGTACTATACTCCTATTTTATGTATGTTTATTTAAGTGTATCAACGATATTACTAGAAATAAATGAAATCTTAAATCATAAAATTTATGTTACAATTCTATCCATGGAATTTCGTAAGAAGTTGCAGTTCACACATATAATTTTAATAAAAGAAATGTCACGAAAAAAATGAATACTTCATAAAACTTCACATACTTTATTTTCTATATGTAGGATTTATTGCAGAATTCAGTGGAGTTTTTTTATTTTGATATAAATTTTAACTAAGCGGTATATTTTTAACATTGGAGGATAAAAGACATATAAGTAGATCTAAATGATAATGTTTGACTCGAATTCTCAAGTCACGTTTATAAGATCAAACGTAGGATTTAAAGTATAAGTCTAAAGTATAATATTTCATTTATCTCATTTTTGAACGTTTTTGACAAAACAGAACATTTCTGGAAATTTCATTATTCTATAATCATACATGCAAAAAAATTGCGTACGACAAATGAAATATTAGCCAATGATCAAATTATTGCCCTTAATTTGAATTTTTGTAGGGAATTGCGCGCGTTCACAATTCGCTGAGACTCATGTGAGAGCGGCACGAGGTCGCGCGATTCACCAGCCAATGCGAATGCGAATTGCCAGCCAATGCGGACGTGATTTACGGTGGTGCGCGCTCGTGTGCGCGACTGGGCGGGCTCGGGGTCTTTTTGCTTCCCATTTTGTCTCGCGTGCGGCACGTCCACCGTGGTTCACTGACGTTTCCGCTGTGCCATCGCATGGCCGACGTGTGCATCTCGAGGCTCGCACTCGCGTGGTACTCGCTGTGTCACGAGCCGTGTCGCCGCTGAAGGAGATCAGCCCGTCACGATACGTCGACGTGTCGGGCACATCTGCCACACCGTAACGAGTCTCCAAAAGTGAGTGTGGAGTATAACAGCCGCGAGCGAAGGTGGCCGCACGGCGTGTGCTTAAACCTGAGCGTTTAATGCCCGCGCGCGCGACACCGAACGCGCGAGAGAGAAAGAGGGAGAGAGAGAGAGAGAGAGATAGAGAGAGAAGAGAGAGAGAATGAGCGGACGGGCGACCGCCCTGAATGAATGGCTATGTCGACCACGTTCCCTCTGTGGCTGACATAATCCGGTGTGAACTGGATCAGCGCGGTATTTCGTAACTGTCGATAATTGTAATTTTCGTAGAGAGGAACCCGCCGCACACGGCCCGGTTCCCCGTTATCGACGCAGGCCACACTGCCTGCTTCGTTCATCGTCGTCGTCATCGTCCACCTTCGGGTGAGCCAAAGCACGCGTGGCAGCGATAAATTCTCAGCATCTCGGCTATCTGTAAGCCGTAACGCCGCGACCACGCGTCCCCACGTACATCAGTCGCGATGTCGAACGAGGAGACCTCCGCCGACCGCAATGTCGAGATCTGGAAGATCAAAAAGCTCATAAAGAGCCTCGAAATGGCCAGGGGGTAAGTAGGTCGGCGCCGACGTCGTCGCCTAGCATTGTCAGCTGCTACTACCATGTGGATTTCGCTGACATATGGTTTAGCAGAGCATGTGCTCGTTCGTAACGTTCCACAATTCAGTTTTTTATTTCTTGCTAAGATCACTCTTATTGTGATCACTAGGTCTGAGAATGTACTATAATTTTCTTGGAAATTTATATTAAAGAAGATATATAAATTTCTTGTCTATACAATGATTTACATGAGCAAATTTCTTTGCAGTTATCTCTTGATATTTCACAATATGCCAATAGATAGAAGATATTGACATGCTTTATTTTGCAGGAATGGCACGAGTATGATTTCGTTAATCATACCTCCAAAGGACCAAATATCGAGAGTGAGCAAGATGCTGGCGGATGAGTTTGGCACAGCATCGAACATTAAGTCACGTGTAAATAGATTATCTGTTTTGGGTGCAATCACATCGGTACAGCATAGGCTAAAGCTATATACTAAAGGTAATTAAGTCTTTTATTTAAATCAAATTCTTTTAGTTTACAGAATCTCTATCTTTTTTAATATAAAAAATATGAGAATTTACAGTTACAATGTTCAAAATTTTGAAACAAACTGTTACATTTCAATTATATAAATAAAAATCATTGAATATTAAGCATGATTTATTTATATGAAATAATATATTTTAGTGCCTCCGAATGGCCTGGTAATTTATTGTGGAACTATTGTAACAGAGGAAGGAAAAGAAAAGAAGGTTAACATCGATTTTGAGCCTTTTAAACCTATCAATACATCTTTATATCTTTGTGATAATAAGGTATGTTTCATGATTGGAAATGTTTTAGAAATGTTTTGGAAATATTTTAGATGATTTTTGTACAAATTATATTGTTTTTTTATAGTTTCACACAGAAGCACTCACTGCATTACTTGCGGATGATAATAAATTTGGTTTTATTGTAATGGATGGTAATGGAGCATTGTTTGGGACGCTACAAGGCAACACACGCGAAGTGTTACATAAATTTACTGTAGATCTTCCCAAGAAGCATGGTAACGTATACGAAAATAAAAGAAAGATAGAATCGATTTTGTAGTTGATTTTTAAAGAATCAGCGTAAGACCATTATTTTACAAAAGATATTGATTTTAGGCAGAGGTGGTCAATCTGCACTGCGTTTTGCTCGATTGCGTATGGAAAAACGGCATAATTATGTTCGAAAAGTAGCCGAAGTTGCTACTCAATTATATATCACTAACGATAAACCTAATATCGCTGGATTGATTCTCGCGGGTAGCGCTGATTTCAAGACGGAGCTTAGTCAATCTGATATGTTTGATCCTGTAAATAATATTTTTTTTATTAATGAATTATCTTACGCAGTTTATTTCTTTACATGCATTCATGTTAATAAAAAAAGAATTGTTTTTCTAATAATAATAATATAATCTAATTAATAATATGTGATTTTTTTTTCAGAGATTGCAAGCTAAAGTTATAAAATTGGTTGATGTATCATATGGTGGCGAAAATGGTTTTAATCAGGCTATTGAATTAGCAGCTGAATCTTTGCAAAATGTGAAGTTTATTCAAGAAAAAAAATTGATTGGTAAATATATATCTACATGTGTTAATTACAATATAGTATATGTTTAATGATATTACTGCCTTTTTTTGTTTAGGTCGTTATTTTGATGAAATTTCTCAAGAAACTGGTAAATACTGTTTTGGTGTAGAAGACACATTAAGAGCCTTGGAATTAGGTAGCGTCGAAACTTTAATTTGTTGGGAAAATTTAGATATTCAACGATATGTTTTAAAAAATCATACAAATGCGGAAGAAAAAGTATTACACTTAACGCCAGAACAAGAAAAAGATAAAACTCATTTTACTGATAAAGAAGTGAGTATCCAAATAATATTGGCAATATATGAAAATAAATTTTTTTATAATAAAAATAATTCTTTTTCTATTTATATTTTTATTATATTTTTTATAGAGCGGGGTAGAATTGGAACTCGTAGAATGTCAACCGTTACTCGAATGGCTTGCGAACAATTACAAAAGTTTCGGAGCCACTTTGGAAATTATCACGGACAAATCTCAGGAAGGATCCCAATTTGTTAGAGGTTTTGGTGGCATTGGAGGTAAGTTTCTTCTATATAAATCAGTCTCTTTAAAATTTCCCACGACAGATTTTATGTCTGTATATCAAAATATATAAACTTATATTACAAATGGTCTCAGAAAAAGTGGAACATGTAATAAAAAGCAAAAAATGGTTAAATAATATAAATAGGAAAAAAGGAAATTAAAAATTAAAATTAAAAAAAGTAATTAAAAAATGTTGATATCTATATTCGGAACATTCTAAATAATGTATAATATAAAAGTAAGGTTTTTGTTAATACAAATCTGTGCGCATTTAACTTGCTATGGAATTTTCTTTAAATTAAGTATGGTGTAGTTGTATTTTGGGTACACAATGTCTCTCTAAAAGCCGATAGAATAACATTACATCGCTAGATACAGGCAAAGATTATTTTGCATGGAAGGTAAATTTCATCGAACTGATATTAATTGTGGAGTATATCTTGGTGCATAGGAATCCTCCGCTACAAAGTTGATTTCCAGTCACTGCAGGCTGATGAGCCTCTTGATGATGTTGACCTTGATGATTACTAATTTCATCCGTGAATTACTCAGAATCGACCAGGTAGCTCTTTCTCTGTCTTGCGTGCGTTCACTTACATTTCGTGTATTATTGAGCATATTATTTGCAAAATTGGACAAATTTATCATTTATTTATCTGTTGACAGTTTTATTAATTCTGATAACTCTCAGATATAATAATATTTCGAATATGATAACTTTTTAAGATAACTTTTAGATACAATAAATTGATTAATGTAAATAAATCAATGGAATTTCTTTAAGTACAAATCTCGAAGGCATAATTAGTCATATTTTTGAGATGTTATCTCTATTTATATAATTTGAAAAAATAAATTTCTTTTATATTTTTTTCTGAAAGATGTAAATACATTGTTAATCAAATATTAGATGAAAAATGTAACTGCATATTATATATAATTATATATAAATATTAGGATTATATTTAAGACTTTCTGAAATTATATATTTTATTTTATATGTAACTAATTATAACTACTGTAAAGTATTTCGTTTTTTGATTAATTTGAATATAAAGATAAATTTGTCCAAGGAATTCACGATTTCTTCCATTGGGTTTTTCACTAAATAGTTTGTTTCTTCTGTGCAAATCTGTAGTATACATATGCATATGTATCTCTTAAAATAAGTTTGAATGTGGTAATAGACATTTTTAGTTCGTGTTTCTCAAGGTATTATATTTCTTGTTTTTATGAATAAAAAAAGTCTGAGAGTCTTCGCTGTCTTTCTTTTCTTTCTTGGTGGTAAACGCGAATAAAGAAAATGTTTTATATATACATAAAATATTGAGATACGGATAACTGTTTATATGCGGGGTGAGTTGAAATCTATCAATCTTCTATGTCGCGTCGTTAGATTGTTGGTCTTAATTGAAATAGTAGATACAGTATACACAGTGATTCAATGGAAAGATAGTATTGCTTGATATCAAATATAGCCACATTCTTATTCGTTTAACACATTTTATCTTCGATCTTCGTATGGTATCATCGTACACAACGAAAATCCGTTACGAACTGTAAAGGCCGTGTTTACAGGAATATTATAAATAAAATGGTTGATAACACTCTGAAATATCAATGTAAGCTTCTAAACAATAATGACATATTTCATTATCATTACTAAGAATATAACTATGTTATATATTTCATTATCACTGCTAAAAATATAACTATTATACTTATTTATGTTGTCCCATCTTGAAGATATTGATATTTATTTCATTGTTCAAAATTACTGTTTAAATATATGACATTTCACATATACATTATCTAATAATTTTCGATTCATCGTATTACCACTCACTTAGCCACTATATAAGTTGTATGAGAGTTTTGCTCAATGGAAATGCGCAATGTTCGTATATGTATTTAATTTTTTATCAAAACAATTTTTTGTTCTGCAATTATAATATAAACTATAGTTTGCATGATAATTTTTATAATATTTTAAATCTCTTGGCAAGTAGAATTTTGTATTACACATTTAATGTGATTTTGATACTATTTTTTGAACTTCACTTTTCGTCAATTTTGTATATCTATAGTATCTATATATTATTGAATTTTTTTTTATATTGTTACGTTAGAAATGATATATAGATTATTATACTGGTAATTACTAACGATACTAGATCGTAGCAAACGCATGTATATGTTTTGTTCGATATGATTATATATGTTTTAGTTTATATAATATTTTTGGAAGAATTTAATAATTCAACTCTGCTTTAGTTAATATATTATTCTAATAGAAGATTGTTAAAATTTATTTTATCAATAAAAGAACATAATAAATCTTATATTTTGAAAGTAATTATATGCTTAATGCACACACACACACGCGCGCGCGCGCGCGCAAAATATTAATTTATTATTTTATTTTTTTATTTAGATATCCATTTTGCGATATTTTTGTGAATATTAAAATATTTATTGTAACATTTATATTGCGATATAAGAAACAGAAAAATACTCGACAGGAGCATACATGCTTGAATTTTATTATATCTTCAATATATTTCTTTTATGCTATGCCTATGCTTACATAATGGAAAAAAAATGATAATAATATAATATATCCAATAATGCATGTTAAATAATAAGCAATATCAAGTTCATCATCATAGATAATAAATATTCTATAATTAGAGAGAGATAAAAAATTGTGTTTAAAAAATTAAGATTCAGTATGAATAATGTGTAAATAATAAACAAAAGATAAATGTTAATTAGTCTGAAGACTATGTGAAGAAGTGTGAAATGTTATCTCTGATAATGAACAAATATTGTAATTATATCTACTTAAGCTTCCACATTAGTAATTGCTTAGGATAGTTAAACTATTTAATACTTTTCAAATACTAATCGATATCTTATTTTTATTAGCTTGCGTATTGGGAAAGGTACAGTACATGTTCCCTATTAATTATACAACAAAGATTAAAACCAAGATACATTATAATTTATATCATAATTTTATAATTGATATACTTATATATACATTCATTTATATTAGATCTATTTCATTAATTCTTTATAAATATAATAACTATATTATAATTATCTAGTTTTTTCGCTTATTAATATTTATATAAGTATTAATTTATTTTAAATTTACTAATATAAGTTTACAGATCTTTATTATTTACTTTTTTATTATATACGTCCTAATCACTAAAATGTACGTACAATATTATTAACATACAATATTAATATTAATTGTCCTTATATCAGTAATTACAAATTCAATAAAATATTTAAACTAAAATTGTAATCTACTTTGAATAGTGCTTTATTTGTTTAATAAATAATTTTTTCAATATACTTTAAATTTGATATGTTTTGTAAAATATAAATATTGTACTACATACGTATAATAAATTGCAGACTCATTCGCGGAATGGACAGATAGAATAACAATTTTCGAAATTATTAATGAGAAAATAAAGATTTACGAAGAGATAGTCCATGCGTATTCATAGTTAGGAGCGTAGTAATATCGTACTTTACAAATGATAATAGCGAATAGCAATCTTTTCTTGTCACGTGTTTATGTTTTCTTTTAATTTATATATGGATATATGTATATAATTTTTTTAAAGCATGTATATTTGAATATATAATCACATACATATTCATTTCATGATTTTTGCAATAATTAAGAAAAATCAATAAAGATCTGTGAATAGACACACACACACACACACGCACACGCGCGCGCGCGCGCGCACACACACACACACACACACACACACACACACATATGGATAATCTATGAATTATGAGATGCTCTGTATAAAAATATACGTTTCTTCTATCTAGGAAAGCACTGATATAAAATATTAATTTAAATTTAACAAATCTATGCCGCGCGTAAACATCAATTGATAATAATCGTGCAGTTTTAATTATTTATATATAAATCGCTTATACTGCATTACTTATATCATGTTGTTGCTACTTACAATTATTTTTCACTATCAATATTTGATAATTATTTTTTATATAAAAATATTTAATTTCTCTGGCTAAGAAAATTTTAAAGCCATAATTATTGTTACTTCATATGTATCTTTTAATATGTATTTTACAGGTATCTTGCGGTACAAAGTGGACTTTCAAAGTATGCAGCTGGACGACATCGAAACCGATGGCTTTGATTTGGACGATTATTAAGTCCATGACTCAATCAACATTTGGTTCTCTTAGCTTTGGAGAAAGCAGGAAGGACATGAGTCCCAAGAAGGAAGCATAAAAAGATGTTTCAAAATTTACATAATACAGCACGTACGATATCGTCATAAAATTATTGTCTAGAATTTACAAGCATCAAGCAGATCGTAATTGTTACACAAAAGGGAAGAGTACCAGCGAATATGGCGCGGCTGATATAATTCATGTCTGAAAAAAAAGGCAATTCGAAGACTGTGACACTTAATTAAGCCAGCTTGATACCTGCCTACTCTCATACATTCACCACCTTGTATTACAATTTTATGGTCCTTAATTATTCACAGGAATTCCTTTAAACAATTATACTACACGCTCTACAGTTCCGAATACAAATGTACAGTGTATGGTGGTTCGATCGTAATTTTATATTAAATTGATGTTTGTCATCTTATCACAGATTTTACGAGAAATAAGTATTTGAACTATAAGAGCGGCTATAGCGTTATTTTGTTCAGATACAATCATGAAAGAGCTGTAATAAATTGGTTATTATGAACATACAATTGCGTATCGTGCATTCTACACCGATATTTGCAAAATTCATACGGAGAGAAGAATTCTGTAAATAGATGTCAATTTTTAAAAAACGGCACAGTTGCCTTAGACATAAGCTGAGGTCGCGTACACGATCCACGGAGTAAATGAAGTATTTCCGTCTTATGCAGTGATACACACTTAAGGTAAACGTAAGGACAGATAATTCCTCGCAATCCTACATTGCTCCATTGCTGGCTCTTGGCTCTTAGATTTTTGTACATTCACACAATTGTACATAAGAAACGCTTCGCAAAAGTGTATTGAAGTAATTTTTCATTGTTATAATGGTGCACCTCAGTGAAGAAAAAGATATTCCCCGCAATATTCAAACGGTTACTGAAGATATTATGAAATTTATTTTAACATTGTTAATTTAATTCTCTTATTCGTACGATGCCTCTGTAATAAATGATGCTATGTATGTATAAATGTGAAAAGAATGCGACGTGCAATTTTGGTGAAGTATCCTTTATGGAAGAATACTGTATAGAGAGCAAAGAGTTTCTCAAAGAGTCTCGAATGTTGTGAGATTTATTCGACAAAAATGGTGTATTATTAATTAATAATGTATCTACAGTATTTACATTGTTGTAATATACACCTTGCAGAGACAAAAACAGGCGCACACACAACACACACAAGAGAACTTCATCAAAGTGGAACGCTCCAGAAAGATTCGATTTTGCGATATGTGCACAACGAATTCCAGAACGTGATGGTTCGAAGTATTTGTATCTGTGTATTGTCTCTTATGATACCCAGATGTTAATTGCCGGCTTAATGTTTCTTCAAATTTTTATATGTAAACATCTTCTCACTATAGAAATCTAGATAGTTATTTATTTCTATACATCGGTGCGACTACGTTTCTGCTTAGCGGATCCGATTTAAGTACGCAAGATAATAAATTAAGAACTCAATAAATATCAATGAGTGAAAATGAGATAAAGAGAGAGAAAGAATGAAAGAGAATGAATGAAAGAATGAGAAAAAGCAAGAGAAGTAGGGAAAGCCTTGTAATCTTTGTTTTAAAGTAAAGGTACATGGAAATGTCGTCCACGCAAGTTGCTTTAACTGGATCGATGACGTACTTAGATTTTATGGCTTGCCTATGATTTCTATAAGCATAGTTATATAATCTGCTAACATGTTCGTCATTGATTATTTTATTCCCATATTTTTGCCAGTGAAATATCTTTTAATCAAAACCGATTGTTTCCTTCACATCTCATTAAATTTTGTATCCGACAGGAAAGCAATATGAAAGTATATGATCATGTAAGGATTTTATCCCAGCCGATTTCTCAGTACAATTTTATTGTAATATTTCACTTTTGTATATGTGTACTACACGCGCTGTTCCAAAATGAAATTTATTTCTGCTGGATTACAAGTATACATGAATCATAGCTAAGGATAGGAAAAGAATTTTTCGATGGTATTACTGCTTATTTTTTGTGAGACCTATGCTTTGTCAGGTGACAGAGGGAGATTGAAATAATGATTTAAAACATTCCATACATATATCATTAATGCGAAATCGCAGAAATGAGTCTTTTGAGAAACAATGTAATTTTTTTTTTATAGAACAGCATTTGATTCATTGATTAACTTTTTTGTTATACATACAAATTTGTAATTTGCATGTTTTATTGGCTCAATTTTGTTAATCCAAAAATTAACAATTATGTATGTATATACAAAATATGCAAAAGCTATGATGAATTGGTCTACTACATCCAAGAGATGATATCTGTTGAGATAATTAGTGTCTAATATTTGGAAGTTTGTCAAATAACCATTATTTCCAATCTTCCTTTTTTCACGCATATTTTATTCGAAGTTTTATACTTGGAGGAAGAAAATAAAATGTCATCATAATATAAAATGCCGAATAGAACTGGACAACCATAGGATATTAAACAGTACATTGAGTGAAAAAAATACAATCTATGTTTCTCATACAAACAGATGGTTATTAGAGTCCGGAACTGTTACACTGGCATAACACCTCATGAAAAATGTCAGCTCAATTATTTTCAATTATTGCAATTTTGCGTATTATAAACAATAAGTATTAAATGTTGACTTAAGGTGTTTTATGTCAACGCGATGCTTCCGGACCCCAATCACAGTTCTTCATATTTAGAAACTTATTGATATCCACCTTTAGACAATTCGTAATCCCGTTTATGAGAAGGGAAGAAATAATTCTTTTTCTTATTATGAGAAGGGTATTATAAAAAGGCACTATCGAAGACAATTCTGATTTTCCTCAGTATAAATACAAATCTCAAACGAATATAATTCAATGAAGAACGTAGTCGAGACGACATAGTGTTTTTATACGATTGTTGTACCTGGTTGTATATCAAAACGTTTCTGCTCGCTGTGTACATTTTGGACGGAGAAAATTCGATGTATTTCATTTCGGAAATATGCAAGAGATACATTCTTAGGATTTCTTTATATTTGTACATTTCATAAGGTGAAAAAAAAAAAGAAAACTGATAATACTGACAATAAACAAAAGGATATCAAACGTTCTGCATTTATAGATTTTAAACTATAAAATGTAGAAGTAAGTATCAGTCGCGGTTAACAAAATCAATGATAATTAAGAATCAAACTTTGATAAATTTTATAAATCCTTAAATTTCTCATCACACAACAAATATTAAAAATAATAATTAATGGGCAACATTATTGCATATTTCGATGACACATGCATTTATTTTATATACAAATATTTCTTCACACTATATAAAATATGTGTTACATGATTTTGCATTCTAATCATCTTTTAATTTCTCTATTTTATGTTATAAATACTTCTAATACTCATCTCAAAAATATATTGTGAGTAAGTAGATATTAATCTTCATTTGGAACGAGAAGATTGAGATTAGCATCCTTCACTATCGAACCCAGAAATTTTTCTTCGGCGCCTCGTATGGACAGAGTCTCTGCGATGATAGCGGTTTTTCTCTCGTCCATCATTGCTGCTCTGGCCCAATTCGAGCTGCTGCACTTGCCGCAGCTGTGCGATGGCATACGGTTTAAGCTGACAGTCCGGTTGCCGCAATCGGTGCACTTGAAAAATCTCTTAACAGCGTCGATCACGCGCAATGGATGTCTCTGCTCTTTGCACATGTCCGATGCTGAGAATGCTGTGTACTTGCATATTGCACACTTCACGGCTTTACAATTGACCTTGAAAGTGCTCATCATCTTTTCTTCCATTCTCTCCTTCGCTTCCAACTTGTTGAAATATTTCTCCTTCTCTTCGTCGTATGACTTGTCAATCAAATCTGTATGCGAGGACTTAGCTTCTAACATCTCTTTAAATTTGTCATTTAAATTAATTTTTTTCGCACTCCGTTCTTCCTGTTCGTCATTCTCTCTTTGACGCTTCGCGTTTTTCTCTAGTTTTTCTTTTGTGCTTACGCGGACCTGATTAGGATTTTTTGCTTTAATCTTTCCATGTTCCTGCACCCACTTGATTGCGTTCATCTTAGCCTTGTGAATCTGTTGCTTCGTAATTGGTTCGGAGAAATCTATTGTACCCTGATTACATCCCATTCCTAATCGCGGGCTTGAAGATAAAGCAGTCAAGCTGATCTTATTTGTATGATTGCTTTTAGTTTTAATTATAGGATTACTTTCTTTTGGTTGTATTAAAGTGGAACACAATATTGGCCCATTAGGCGTTGATTGTACCATTACTTGTTTTGACGGTTGCCAGCCTCTCAGTTTATTGAGTCGTTCCAAATCTTTCCTTGATTGTTTGTTTGTCAATTCGACAGCTATCCCTTTTTTAGTATCCATATTATTCGCAGAGTTCGAGTCATTTTTTACTTTCTTAAAACTGTTATCTGAAGTTGTCTCAGATAATAATTCCAAACGCGCTCGATCCTTTTCGTACAGTTCCTCGTTGCGTTGGGCCAACACCGGAACGAATGATGCCAATCCATTGTAGGGTTTTCGCATAACGGTCTGCTTATTCATGCGTTTTATCGCGTCTCCAGTGAATCCGTAACTAGTATTGCTTGACTGTATATCCGCTCGTAGCGCACATTTCTTGTATTCCTGCTTAACGTGATAGATGCAATACTCGCATCGACTTATGTTTACAATCGCGGTGCATGGATCACCATTCTTCTTGACTGACTTGCATTTGCCCATATCTTTAGATCTGCCAAGAATCATCAGTCTCTGAGGATTGTCGATTGACAATGTCGCTTGATCAATGTTATCTTTATTCTCGAGTACATTTGGATTAAGAATACCTATCACGCTGCCGACGATAGTTTTCCATAATTGTTTGTACGCGTTACTAAATAGAAAGATAGATACAGTTTTCAGATCATTGGATAAGTCACTTATTTTCCAGATGCAGTAAGAAGTGCCTTTCTGCGAGGTTTTTGTGACCGATTTATTGATTAATACACCAGCGATCACCCAATCATTATGTACATTATCGGAAATAATGTGGCTTTTTACTTTTGATACTGTTATAGCTATTTTATCCTTCATGCGTTCTTTCAATTCACTAGAAGACACAAGAGGACTAACTATTCTTATTCCAAAAAAGGGATCACTGTATACGTCTTTTGTACTACCATCATTACCTTTTATGGCATTATTGAAATCAAACGTCTTACTTTTGTTATTATTAAAATTAGCAGTCTTTTCACTCTGTGATTTGACATGTTGCTCAGTTTTTAAAGTGGAACGTTCTTTTAACAGATGTTTGATTTCACGCCCATAGTTAGAATATTTTTGTTCTTCAAAATATCGCCTGTCCTCATCATCAGAAGAATCAAGTTTGTCATCATAAATTCTACTTACTTTTTCATCAGTGAGTTTAGTCTCATTATTTACATTATTGTTAGGCACAGAATCTAAGAAATTGAACTGTAATTCTGTCAGAGATTTTTTTGGTTCTAATAGTGTAGGTTCTTTGAGCTGCTTAGGTTCTTCAAACTGTTCAAGTTGCTCAGTCTCTTCGGTGCAACTTGATATGAGATTATTTAGAATGTCAAGGTCAGAATCACTGTCCTCATGCTCCATTGTTTAAACTCTATAAACTCTTTAAACTCTATAAACACTGAAAAAAAAGAAAATGTATTTAATATAATTGATTAAGACAATTAATTTTACTTGGAGACAATTTTTTATATTAAAGATAAATTATAATTTAAAAAGAAAACATATTTATGTACATTTAGATAAAGATAAGGTGATGAATAAAGTTGTTAGTTAATTAACTCAATCAATTAACTGGAATTAATTATAAGCTTTAATGTTAAATTTATTACACGATGAATTTATTTACATAAGATAGATAAACCAAAAAAGAATGAGAATTTACTGAAAAAAATTTAGTTTAAGTTATTGAATCAGTTTTTAATAGTGAATAAAAAATCTAACCTTACTCAAATATTTTGTGATACTAACAACTCTACAAAAATGTTTATTATCACAGAAATTGCTTATATTTTTGAACCATTATCATCGATGCATTATTTAATAATTTTCTTACATAACATATATATAATTATTTGCACAACCGAATATTACATTACTCTGCTAACGTACTGATATTTACCCGCCAATTTTTAGCAGACGATGCAAAGAAAGTCGATGAGTGGGGAATTTATTTGCGCAGGCGCTGCTTTAATGTATCGAGAATATCGCGGCGTCGATAGATTTCGATAAATTTCGAATGCGCCATGATCGAGGCGGAATGCGCCATGATCGAGTTGCTTGTCACAGAGTTGCTGATCAAATCGCTTATTTTTTTGTTAATTTACGTGCAAACGATTGTCAAGAGTGATTTTCATAAAAAACACGGAACGTTTGTTATGTAACATTATAGGCATATAAAGCAAATATCGTACACAATTACTACACCAATGCTGGGATATCAATCTCTTTTGATACAATTCGCTGCTTTTTTCTTTTGTGTTTGCGACGGATCAAATTATTTTCATCTCATACATTGCCTCATTTCATCATACACCAGGTATTTACTTCTCCTTTAAAGAAATCCAATTTAATATTGAGCAATATAATACCGGCAATTACTTATTCTGAATATTGAAAGCGCTAAACAACAGTGTTTTTAATACTTTACTTAAAATAAATAATTAATCACTAGCTTCTAATATTAAATTTCTATAAGTGTTTTTATAATAATCAATTACATATGTATTATATTTCTTTTGATATTTAAATAATGATAGATATTTAGATTTAGACGTCACATGCCGCCATTTCTTATTTTTCTGAGCTGTTTGCATATTTATTGAAAATTTATTCAAGCTTATAAAATTTTTATTGTATTATATAAATATGTTTATTATTTTGATTAGAATATTATTAGTTAAGTTTCTTATCATAAACTTATAGATTTTCCACAATTCATAATTTTAATTTATGATACATACATATATGTAATTACATTTGTGTTGCGGCATATCGAATTTTATTAATATAATATATTATAATTTATTTCTGATAAAACAAAATACTTAATATTTTGATAATAATTAATGAATATGTGGCTGATTTTATTACATTTAAGAAAAATGCGTATACATAGAGATTATTAATGGCTTAATTTCGTATCACGTTAATTTTTGTAAATGTACTATTATTATTGCAGCACTTTGCCATTTCTCTCAAAGAATAAGTAAAATAATAAGGGAAGCCGACAATCTTTTCTAGCGATTATTCTAACTGAGCTATTGCTCACAATAAATTATTTGTGACCTGCAGTCGCAGTCAAATTGCATGATCTCTGATTCATCACATTGTCGCTGATATGTAATGGCGTAATTTTCTATGGTCTAATGAGATGTAATCAGGGTAAATGTTTCATCACATATAGGGTGTCCAAAAAGAGTTTTGAATTAAATTTAATGATACATTTATTAATTAATTTAGTAATTTATTTTTTTAAATTTATTTTTTTAAAGGAAATAATAATCACATCTTAATAGTAATTATATTAAAATAATTAATTCTTAATAACAATTATAAAATTGCTTATGATATAAATAAATAAAAAAAATTATTATTTATTTTAATTTATAGATAGGCTTTTTGTATTTTAATTTTGTATTTTAATTTAATTAATAAATTTACTATTAAATTAATTAATTTAAATTTAATATTAATAATTACTGTAAATTATAACGTAGTTATTTTTCATAAAATTGTATTTTGATAAAATTAATCTGAAATTAATTATAAAATACGTTATTGTTAAATTTAAGATAAAATTTTAAAACAAGAAGATTCTCAGATAATTTTTATATATTTAATATATTGCACACACATACACATACACACATAGATATACATACATATATACATCTGTATACTCACGCTTCTTTCTTTTATGATGATATTAAGTGTGTAAAAAAAGAATATTATTTGAAGAAATATAAATTAATAAAGAAATATAAAAAATATAATATAAGGATATAAACAATGTACTTTATTAATACTTAAACGTATAATCGTACATATGAAATTGCGTCAGTGTTATTTATACTTACTGGTTAACGATTTTCGTAGCGAGGTGACCGCGCTTCTCGCAAGCACGGAAATCGACCAGTCTCTCTTTATGAAATATTCAGACTAGATGTTGCAGTCGGACTAAACTCAAGCAGTCAGTTTGCATCTAAGCAATTCTCGTAAACGAGAAGGTAAGCAGTATGGCTATCGAAAATACATTCTAGAAATGCTTAATCGGAAGTTTCGCGAAGTTGCTGTATCAACTCTTGACAGCGCGATTTTATTTCTCCCTATGGATCAATATTAGAACGTGTTACTTTTAAGTACTACAAGTATTATTTAAAGTAATATGTGATCTCCATTATTTACGTTCTTCTGTAAAAATTTTAAAAAATATGGTAAGATTGAGTGGAAATAAAATTGCAAAAAGATGACATGGTTTGATTAATTAAATAATTGTTAAATAAAATAATTAGTATAAGAAAATAAAATCAATTGTTTTTTGATAAATAAAATAATTTTTGAAAGGATTTCTAACAACTATCTGAAAGTTTTGAAAAGATATTTATTATTAAGTTTTATAAAAATATTGTAAAAGAGAAAATTTATTAAATAAGATTTTTACTTTTATCTTGCTTTATTACTAGAGGTAAATGGAAGAAGGCAATAATTTTTCAGTGATAAAATTAACAGTTATAAGTTTCTAATAATTTTATAATAACTGCTATTTTATTTTGCTATATATGCATATTATAACTGCTCACTTGACAAGAATTTTTGAAGAAATATATGTAGGATCATTAAACATTAAGCTTCTATGACTATATTATGAAAGTGGCGGCTGTTTTAATCCTTACGAGATGCTTTCTACCGTATTATGCGATGAATAGTAGATAAATGCTTCCTGCGTACGCATAATGTACAGTTATCATATAACTATAACTAGCATACAGCTTACATACTTTAATAAGCATGTAGGTACTTATTTATTATAGTCTCTCATTATAGTCTCTCTTACTCTCTTTGCATCCTTATGTGCATGTCTTCGTAATTTTCAATGACCTAGTAACCTATTATATTTATTGTATTTAAAAATCTAATAGATCTGTGATATTTATTATTTCATTATATTTCTATTATTTATCGCGTAAGTTGGATTGAAAAATCAATAAGGCACTGCTAGGTAAAACTTCAATTTATTCAAATATAATATATGAAAGGTTTTATGATATACATAATAAAATTAAAGATTTTTGCAAGCTGACAAGAAACAACATTGATAAAAATATATAAATATGATAGAAGAAAACATCAGAATAATATTTTGTTCCCTGCAATTTTTATATGCGCTACGTATAGTTTTTTCATCAAAATTTCATGCGAAAATAACCCAAAGAAGATTGATATAAAGTATACTTTCTTTGACTTTACGTCCGGATGTAGTTCCTCATGAAATAATAAACGCGATACGATACGATTCCATCCAAGGATAGAGAAATAATTGCGCGAAGAAAATAAATTATTCTACATATTTTCGTCGATCGGCTGGCGCATATGTGTTGATGCACCAGTTGGTGCCTCGTGATACTATCGTCTGTCGATTAGAGCAATAAACCATCAATAATATAGTCTACTTGCTACGATTTAACGTACACTCAAACACGCAAAATATTCGTGCATTTATATGCCTGGAAATAATAGACTCGCGACTTAGCTATTTTTCTTTGTGATTGCATTTGTCCGTGACGTCACGTAGAAATCTGTATGCGACCGGAAGAAACGAATTTTATCATACGATTGCGCCAGAAACGATATCATTGACAAGTAAACGTGTCATTTTAGTCATTTATTCGTGGTCTAATTTTGCCAGATCGATATGTCGGGTGGCACGAAAGAGAAACGGCAAGGATAGAATATTTCCTTTGCACGAAAGAATCATTGTTTTTCTAACATTGAGCATTATTAAAATTTTTGTTTAATTTTTTCTCGATATGAATTTATTACAAACATATTAAATTTATGTCGATATAAAGATACTATTTTTTATTATTAATCTCACAGCATAGAATATACTGTGAGACTAATAATAAGAATGCTCTTTAGTGTAGAAAAACATATTATTAATATTTCTTTATTCACACGTGTGCATTAGATTTACCGTAACACAAAGCTGAAATATCATAATTCGACAGTTATTCTACCGTGATAATTTGATAGTTCTCCACTAATTAATACTAAGCATCTTTTTCCGAGATGGCGGTCGCAAATTTTCTTGTTGTCTTAATAAATGCGATATTTATTATTCTCTTTACGCAAGCTGACCCATTAAAAAAGAAAATATACCGCGGACAACCGTTGTAGCGGGATTTTTTTCCTTTCCTCGCACCGCGGGCGCGTTGTTCACTCTCGTGCAACGGGATTCTAGTGCCATCCCATAATTCTGAAACTAGTTGGAACAAAAGCAGCTCACGTATCGTTCATCTGCCCCCTTCCTCTACGCTCCTCCCGCCTCTTTTCGCCAGGCTTGTTTCTGAATCATCTGCGACACAGCCGCATCTTCCACCTGCTAATCTCGAGGAAAGCTGCGCGTTCCGAGCGGCTTCCACCTGTTAGTTACAGGGGAAAGCGTGTAGTCACGGAGTCCCTCGCGTAGAACGAAGCTGCATGCACCGTGCATCGCTCTTCCATCCATGGCGTCTGCGCTCTCTTGATAAAGGGAAAGAGGAAGAGAAGAGAGAAACAGAGAGAAAGAGCGCACATGCCGCGAGTGCACAACGCGGCGTGCGCTTCGAAAGAAAGTACACCATTACCTTCGACGCATCGTTGCACCTCGCGATTTGTTCCCGGGAGCATCGACGCGAGTTCTTTCGAGTGTGCAAACGAGTCGGAATTTTTCGCGATACAATTGAATTTTATCTTTATGTAAGCTATGTGTAATATTCGCATTACATAAGTTCAAGACCTGTGAAGTGGAAGATCGCAGATTTTCTAGGAGATTTTAATTTATAGAAAAGTAACAAGAAAAAGAAATATGAAATATTTCTTATCATTATGTACATATATGTTTTTCTCTACTAATTATTACAATCTTAATTTTAATTATTTGGAATTTAGTATAATGATAATACATAATACTATGCAATAAAATAAAATACACATAAGTCTGCATTAAGTTTATATATATATATATATATATACTTGATGTATTTTTAGATGTAATCTCCGCATTTTCTTATACTCCATTGCGCATATTTCGCATTAGCTTTTGTTTTTGTTGACAATAAACTATCCCTTCGTTACATGCTCCTTCGCCTTCAGTCGCCTTTTGTAACAAGCTTCGCGAAGGGATTTTCCTCCGGGGCATGCTTCTCCCTTGACCTCTTTGTTATAACTCATTTTAATAATGCAACTTCAATAATTATGGTTATTATAACGCTGTGCAGCAAGCATAGAACAAAAAGTGCTCGTCATTACAACTATACCAGAATTTCTGATGAAACTTCTCTTATGAAATGAAATCTATTTCTCTTTTGAAATGAGATATCTATAATGTTTATAATAATTTATTTACTATTTTATATATTGATTTATAATTTGTAACCCACATGCTCTTTTTAATCATTGTTACACATTCATTAGAAAAAAATATTATTTTCCAAGGAAATCAATAAAAAGAAGTAAAAAAAGAAGAAAAACAAGAAAAAAAAAGAGGAAATAGGTATGTAAATCATTAGTCAAGTTTTTTTATGTAAAAAATTATATATTTTTATATAATATTTGTAAGCAAAAATTTTTTTTAGTGATTAGAATAATTCTTGCATATATCTTATCGAATTTTTATTCAAACTTTTTATTTTTTATTCAAAAAGAATCGATTCTTATAAAATAAATTAAGAAATTGAGAAAAAATTTAATATATTTACATTCAATTAAAATTGGAACATTTAATAATTCAATTTATTTTTTACAGTGAGCTTTTTTCAATCATCACGTATGAAGAAAATTTTGATAGAAAATAATTTTTTAAAATATATATTTATTATTTTGTTTATTGCCATCATAACTTTATTCGAGAAAAAAACGAAATATTCTCGCGCGCATTCCTAAAGATACGTCCGAAATTCTCTGATGTAGCGACTCCCTTTCTTGAAGATGATCCAAGAACACGTGTGGGGATCCTGACGCACCCCTATCTTCGTGCGTTTCCCCTCGCAACGGCGGTCATCCCTCCGTTGAGTGCAGCCTCGTTTTCCCGTCACCTTTTCCGGCGGTGAGTCGCGAGGGAGGAGGGGTCGCCGCCGATGGTCCCCCTCCAGGCACGCGCCTCTCGCTTCTCTGTTCCCCTCATCTGAATCGCGAACGACCCGTTCTCTTCCCCTCGTACCCATCGTCGGCGCTCGATCCAAAGCCCCCACACTCCGCCACATCCACCCACTCACCTACCCCGACCCAGTGGCCCGCGGGCCATCCCACTCCACCCTCGCAGCGCGGCGACCCCGCGCGCCCGTCTCACCGTCATCGCGCGCTGGTTCACGCTCCGTCAGTCTGTCGGCAACCTGCGTACCAGTTGTGTCGCAGCGCTCACGTAACAAAATTCTTATTATTATTATCATCACTCTCTTTACTTGTCTTGAAACTTGGTCGGTGGTGTGTTTATTCTCGTTTTCGACTTCGTTGCGCGTATTTATTTTTCAACAGCGTTCCATAGCCCTTAATTACATTTTCGCACGCACGTCCAGGAGCTCTCGCGTTCACCGAAGAAATTATCATTGCCGCCGCATACGTCCGCGCTCGCGCATGAAATTTGCCACGGTCTGCGATTCATACGCGCGCATCATACCGGGCGCACCGATAAAGTGACCGAGAGACAGAAAGGCATCACGAGAGAGAGAGGGAGAGAAGAGTACGAATACGTCAAGTTCGAGCCGATCGCCTGCGAGCCTTATCCGATTGCCGCTGGTATTTACGAGCGTCGCTGGTACTTCGGAGCGTTGCTGCGTGTCAATCATCCGGCGCGCGGCAAGTCGTGCCATCGATACGCCTCGCGCAACCTCGTCTTCGCCGTCATCATCGCAGTCGCCGTCGTCCTCTTTGTCGTCGTAGCGTGCAGCCGCGCGACGCAGCAGCGCTGGAGTTCACCAGCCGGGACGTCATCGGACAAACACCTGGACGAACATCGCCTGATACACCCGGTGCATGGGTCACTGCTGTACGCCGATAGATGAACCATCCTATCTACAGTCGAGGAACATCGCTGTCGCCGTCGACGCCGCGTTCACCGGGTGCTGCCCTGCTCCACCTCCACGGCGGGCACGCTGCTGGTGTATCGATTGCTCTAAAATAGACGCGTGGGAACAACACCTGCAGGCCAGGCGTACACGTACACACATGCCGTTCGCAAGCGCATAAACGCGCAACAGCCACACACGATCGTGTTTCACGCTTCATACACACTCATACATACGGTTCGTTCGTTCTCTCCCTCTCTCTCTCTCTCTCTTCTCTCTTCCTCTCTGTCTTCTACTCGTTACGCTGCCACGACTCTCTCGCAGCAACGTGTGACAGGTGCAACGACGGCGACGTCGTCGTAGGGTGGTCGGTGGTGGCGCTGGCGGAGAGCCGCAACAGGAAGCGGAAGAAGTGAGTCGGGTCGAGTTCGCAAGAAGAAGCGAAGAAGAGGAGAAAGAAGTAGATAAATTCAGGAAGGCACAGGCGAAAAATAAAAGAAGAAGAGAAAAAAGGAAGAGGTCGGTTAAAGGAGAGAGAGAGAAGAAGAATTAGATCAGGGAAGGAGAGGAGGCGTGGAGAAGAAAGAGAAGGGAAAAGAGGAGGAAGAAGAAGAGGAGGAGGAGGCGGAGGAGGAAGAGGAGGAAGAAGAGGAGGAAGAGGAAGAGGAGGAGGAGGAG